TGTGTGTGTGTGTGTGTGTGTGTGTGTGTGTGTGTGTGTGTGTGTGTGTGTGTGTGTGTGTGTGTGTGTGTTCTGAATCAGGTTTCAGCTTACCTTCATCGGCAGTGTGGTTAGATGATGGGCAGCTTGGTTTCTCAGTGCCTCTTCCTGTGGTTTGTTTTTTCAGAAACCACTTGGTCTGTAGGACCTCAGTGGTGTGTTGCAGCTTCAAGAGTTAATCTCTTCATGTGGAAGATAATCTACTGTTTTCACATCTAAATAGTAGCTGAGCCATTCTTTTTTGTTCACCTTGAAGAAATAGTTACATACTTTGTTTCTGGGAATAAAATGGAAAGATGTATTGCACTTTCGCTATTTGTGGTAAGCTAACAACTAGTTTCATATTTACCATACATTACATTACATTACATTTCATTTAGCTGACGCTTTTATCCAAAGCAATTACCAATTACAGGGACATTCTCCCTGGAGTAACCAAGGGCTAGGTTCCTTACTCAAGGGCACACTAGTGGTGGTGTTCCAGGCGGGATTTGAACTCACAACCTTCCGATCTTCACCCCACCTCACTATACAGACAAGAGCATAGTATTAATGTTCTCATCTGTTACTCAGCAGATAAACTCAGGGTTCCCTACTATGTAAACCAACTAATGTTTTTAGATCTACAATTCACCAGCTAATGCTTAAAGTTAACGTGTTAACATGATAACATGATAGGACACTACTGATGAATCTGAGTAAAAAACGTCACATAACAGCTATTATTTTAACATTGGTGTTTATTTTTTAAATCACTCAATTTTTTCCACTTGAGGATAACAAGGGAGTAACAGGATGCTCAATTAAGATTAGGTTTGGTACTTTGCTTTTTAGCTCATTTTACATAGCATGCTGGCAGCAAAATGCGAGATAGCATTGGAGATGATGTTTTCTGATCACGCTCTGTCTGCTGTTGCCACCCCCTCATTGTGGGTTTCAAATCTAAGAGCTGAATTATTTTACAAATTGATGTTGAGAGTCGGATTTACTTATTTTCAGCTGAATTAAATAAGTCCAGAAAAAAGTCCAGAAAAACTGCACCTGCAGCACTCTTCAAACGACAAACGGCTATGAAGTATGTGTTATCAGTGAGCCATGTCTTTTCACAGGTCAGTCTGCTCTGTTACTGCAGAGTTTTTACTTGGTTCAAAGTCTTGGTCTTAGGCTACTTTTTGTCCCTTTCTCTCCTTATGCTGTATTTATGCCTCTCCTTCAGTGGATGTCACATTCTCATTTCCTCTCCTCTGCCCATCTCATTTCCCCGTCTCTTTATTCAGGTGTTTTCTTCAAACTTTCTCTTTGCCTATCTTCCTCTCAGCCTCCACTCGAAGTCCTGTACAAGCCTCCAAACAGACTAACAGTCATGCAGCTCTCCTATCTCAATATAATGAGATTGGGAGCGCCCAAATTGAAAGAAGCCATTTTCTACAGCTGTCAACTTATTATCGGGAGGGGACCGACTCATTCGCTCAGGGAGTGGAGGAGAGAGGAGGTGTTGGAGTGATGGAAGAGAGAAGGTTTGAAGTGAGAAGTCAAGGGGGGAGGGGGCTCAGGGGTGAGCTGTTTTACATTTTGAAACATTTTTTCCTTCTCTTTGTTAGATTATTTCAGTTTGGTCACTAGTGGAGCCTTGAAGTACAATTATTTTATTAGTGTGAATACTGTTTACAGCATTCCACTATAGTTCTTCTTTTCTTTATTCTTCTTCTTCTTGAAATATTCAGCTTTTTCAACTATTTTTTAAAAATGCAACTCAATAGAGTGCCACAGTGACGCATCCTAAAACCTGGAAGTAAGTTAGCATTTTACCACTTCCGGTTCCTTCGACAAAAACCAATGCAATTTCTCCATAGGATTTTGGAAAATAGCTCGAAATAAGGTCTGTGGTTGACACAAATTAAATCTATCGATCATAAATCTATCGATTAGATTTATGATTTGAAAATGATAAAGGTTTGATCTCAATAACAGAGTGGACGAGAGCTTGAAATTCTCCCCAATTTCTTTTTTAAAACTGCCATAACTCCCATACCCTACACTCCTTGGACATAATTTTTCATGAAAAACGTAGGAAAACCTCTCCTACGTTGAAAAAATAATAATAATAAAGGAAATTGAGCAAAATGCCTCTTGAGGGCATGAAGTGACAAAAACGTTCAACATGTCTCCATTAAGGCCCATTGTAAATTCAGCCTGATCTTTCCTCAGAGCACCAGCCGTAGACCTTTAGTTAATTTGCCAAAAAAGCCACATGATTGAACCGAAAGTACAGAAAAAACAGAATGAGACGCTCCTTAGGGTCCTGAGATGCTCCACGCGTTGACATTTCACCGATAGCTGCTACGGATCTTCAACAAAACGTTCAAATGTAAGAGGTTTATCTCTCATTCAGATAAATGGAAAGGCTCTCCTCTCACATATCACTGCACATCACCATGGAAACCTTTGATCTCTGGGCTCACACACAGGTGTTATGATTAGGTGCTCAGCATAGAAACAAACACTGACAAACAAACTGGACTTTAACAGACTGTCTCAGCCTATTCTTTTCTGTCTGATGGAGACTTCATACTGACTTCAACATGTTCCACATAATTATTTTATACATGATTGGTGACATATGGTTTTAGTCAAAAAGTTTGCAGTTAAAATATTCTGCTGCTTTCCCAAGCCTTTTTACTTTCTTTTCTCTTCTTACTACACATTCATTCACTACTACTTACATTTAATATATAACTCCTTCAGCCTACTTTCAGCTACAGAAACCATTCAACTATTAAATGATTCAGCTATTTCAGGATATTGAGGCTTTACATTTTGTTTTTTATACCTTTTTTAAACCTTTTCTTTTAAATATTAAGCTTCTTCAAGATTTTTCCTACTCTTCCAGTTTAACATTTCACTTTCAAGTTTTCAACAAAGTCATTGCAATGCATTTGAGCTGTAACAATTTTGATTCAAATCATTTCACTTGTCTACATTTCTCCGCTAAGTTCAGCAACACACTTACTTGCTTTTTGTAGCTGCTTTTAGCTACAGAGACCATTCAAATACAAATATTCAGCTTTTTCTGCATTTTCAGCTAAATTCAGCAACAAATGTACACAGTTTACAGCATTCACACGCATTTTCAGCAGGAAATGCATTTTCTAGTTCATTGTGTTCCTCTTAATATTCAAAATCCAGCATGAAGAGCTTTGTGGACATGAGTGTTCATTCTCCCTCCGCACAACTATTTACTGCTTTAAAATTCAGGGATATATAGGTGTTGCTTTTATCCGCAGTGCCTTGTAATGGGTGAGCAGTATCTAACTGGCTGTTACGATGTATCCTCGACAGGCATCCATTATGCGCTTTGTCATTCCTATACAACAAGGGAGGTCAATGGAACTGCACTTGATCAAAGTGAAAAGAGCTAAGGAAAAGTTCTGATGACGCACTTCCAACTTAACAATAAAACTCAAAAAGATTATATAGCCGAATGCAGGCAGTAAGATGCACAGAAACATCTGAAGCATAAGGCCAACACTAAAAGATTTAAGCACAGCACATATTGATGCACCAAACAAATCCTTTAATTGTCACTTGTCCAGTAATGGCCCGCAAGGTTGTAGAATTTGTTTAGGAGATAGAATTTGTCCTCATTTTCAATCAGGACGGTCAGCTTTAATCAAGTCCAGTCAATACTTTTGTTTGAGAGGCTTGTTAAAAAGACATCTTTTTAAACAAGATCACTCTGCTCAAAGATGATTATGTGCTTTGTTTGTATGTTTTTACAGAGCGCTTCAGTTTGCTGTTGTGACAGATTTCATTAGAAACCTAAGCCGAGGAGGCTTTGGTTGTTGTTTTCCTGTTAACGATATCCCAAAAACAACTTCAGTTAAATTTGTTCCAAATGTAAGGCTTGGGCCCAGGGACTGGTTAGATTTCATGCAGATAACACTAACACACAATCAGTTTCTTTGAACCATTTTCTGCCTGTAAAAGAAAACTATTTTCCTCATTTCTAATATTATAAACGATCCATCAGTATAAATCTTCAATTTTAAATGATGGCAAAACTGATTTTTACAGCAACGCATTTAATTAAATCATGAAAAACTGTTATTAAACTATTTTGATCACGTTCACCATTCAATTTAATTTCTGCTGGTCGAGATTGGAAAAAGCACTTTGTGGATCCACTGAGCTTTGTGAAGTTTCATAAACGTCGTCAAGTGATGTCAATTGAGTCAGCATCTGTTGGAGCTGAAAGCTACAGGTTTGGAAAATATTCTGGGGTTTGGAACTAGAAAGAAGTAAGACTCCCAGACCTCGACGCCTGATCCTCATTCCTGCGGGATGACCAAGGCTACCATAACACAATAAAATGTACAAGTGAACTGTCAGCAATCAAGTTTATTTGTGGTTAGTTTAGGCACAGGGTTTGGACAGGGAAGAAGAACAAAATGCGACGATATCTTTGGTTCTGCTGTTTCATTTTGACCTTTTCCTATTTTTAAACTGTCCATTGAGAGTCTGACAATCGACTGCACTGTTTTTGTGAGGTTGTCCCAGCACGGTAGTTCTATGCATGCATGTGTGTGTGTGTGTGTGTGTTTGTGTGTGTGTGTGTGTGTGTGTGTGTGTGTGTGTGTAGTCGTAGTTTTGTGTGTCGTGTTTCTACCTTCTGTACAGCAGAGTGACCTTGATTCTGCACTCAGCAGGAAGACACTAGAGAGGAGTGATTAACAGGAAAGAGACAAAGAGATGAAAGAGAAGTGCGAAGAAGGAGGAACATTTAAAAAAAAAGTGTAGCAAGACATGAACAGAGTGTGAAAGTTAAACATGCAACAACAACTAAACAGACCGAGAGAGTGAAGGAAAGATTTAGAGAAATACTGTGAAGAGAGCGGAAGTAGTGTGGAGTGGAGGAGTGACTCACCACACATCTATTGTTTTTTTTCTGCTTCTCTCTACAGGCAATCTGGAGGTGCAGTCATCAAGAACAGGTAAGAGGGGAGGAAGAGAAATGAGAGGGAGGATGGGGGGGCTGGAGTTGAGGGAGGGAGGAAAAAAGACAAGAATATTACACTGAATATTAATCAGACTCTCACTTGTACAGGTGAGAAGACACAGTCCTTGCATTGTCATCGGTGAAGAATGTGTTACTGTACTGCATGAGTGTGTGTGTGTGTGTGTGTGTGTGTGTGTGTGTGTGTGTGTGTGTGTGTGTGTGTGTGTGTGTGTGTGACTGTGGGGTTTTAACAGTGTGTCAGCTCATCTGCTGTGACCCAGGTTAATAGGACTGCACCATCACGCATGCACACTCAATCACACACACACACACACACACACACACACACACACACACACACACACACACACACACACACACACACACACACACACACACACACACACACACACACACCAAAACGACCCACGACTGACCGCTCAATGCCCCTTTTGACTTACACACATGCACGTACCCCAAGAGGCAACCTCTGTCTCTGTAAAGTGAAGCGAATGCGGAGGTGAATGAATCGTAGGTTCTTTCTAATAGTCAACAGGGGGAAACTCCACTGGAAAAAAGAAGTCTATGAGAAAAGACTCACTTCTCACTTGATTTATTACCGTAGAAAACATTTGACAAATACATTTATCGGCCTACTCGCTACTTTCAAGTCCTCTTAAGTACAGCATGATGTTAATTCACTAAATGATAGTCCCATTCAGAGTAAAATAGGCGATACAACATGATATGACTTGGGGTGTGGTTACCTTCTGATTGACACGCCTCCAGATGAAGTTGTCTGTGTTATTGTTTCAGAACTTTAACCCTTGCTGTCTGGCATTATAACTTTAACTTCATTCAAACTATGTTTTCAGTTTATAAAAGTATAATTGTAGCATTTTAGCACTTCCTTCTTGTATCACTTCTGATTCAAAAAATAAATAAATGGCAACAGCCAAACCAAAATGAAGATAGTGACACTGAACTCGAGGCTTCAAACCATAGTCTAAATAAAACACATGCATGCCTTGCTGTTGGCATCCTGATGTATTCCCTCTTTGTTATTCACCTTTGCTACTTTTACTATCTCTGTCTATCCCTCTGCTATTCTCCCTTCACCTCCCCTTCCCCTGTTTTCTCTCTCAGTCTTGGTGAGGAGTTTTATAAGGAGGCCATTGAACACTGTCGCAGCTACAATGCCCGTCTGTGCGCCGAGCGCTCGATGCGTCTCCCCTTCCTGGACTCCCAGACCGGCGTGGCCCAGAGCAACTGCTACATCTGGATGGAGAAGAATCACCGTGGACCAGGTGTGTGTCTCTTTGTGTGTGAGGCTGTGAAGTGTGTTCTTCATATCTTGTCAGAATAAAGTGGCATTTGTTGCTCGCTGAGGCTCTTCATAGCCCTCGTCTTTGTTGGTGTGTTGTGTTCACCAGCTGTTGTGCCACACACATTATTTTTTCTGCTGTTTGTCCCGCGGCTGACTTCCTTCCTCTGCTCTGCTTGTTTCTGTCTAGTTTTACCTCCTCTCCCCTTTCCCTCATTTCCTCTCCCTCTTTTCCAGGCCTCTTACCTACTTCAACTTTTTTTTTACTTTCCCCAACGGGTGTTTCCTCATCGCTTTTTCTTTCTCTGTAACATCAGTGTGTTTTGGCATGGAATCAGACACCCCTGTAGGCAATGATACGCCGCTGGCATCAACTATTCCAGAGAGAATGCAGAGTGTGTGTGTGTGTGTGTGTGTGTGTGTGTGTGTGTGTGTGTGTGTGTGTGTGTGTGTGTGTGTGTGTGTCTGTGTGTGTATGCGCACTTGTGCAAAAGCTTTTTCACGAATTTAGTTTGTAGTTTTTGCCTGGTGTCTGTCATTACAAATACTTTTGTGTGTTACTTCATTCGTTTTCATCTTTAATATTTTGTATGTTCTAAAAAATGAAGTTTTGTTGATTTTTTTTAATAGCTGAGTATTCTCCAAAACCATCCAAAAATTGCTTGTACTTGAAAACACAATCACACATTTTTGTTATGAAAACATTTACAGCACCATAACAGACAATCTTTTGCACCGCAGCCATGAGAGTCCAGACTTAAAGAAATCAACAACTATTAGATATATTAAGGTAAAATGTTGTCCAATTTTGATTTGCACCGACTAAAATGTCTGGACAACTATTAGATGCACTTCATTGTTATTAGTTTCAGAATGGTTCCTCTGAGGATAAATTGTGATAACATTGGTGAATAAATACCTGAAAACTACTAACTCTGTTAGCATTAGGCTCAAAGCTATTCTGTGCCTTAAGTAGATGCACTTGAGGCTAATAATAGCACACCTAACTGTCTATATTTAATTTTGTTCATGCATGAATTAATGTATTAAATATAGACAGTTAGGTGTGCTAACTTACTGTCATGTGTGTTCCTTTGTGTTTCAGGTCACGCTCCAGGTCAGTTGTATACATATCCCGCTCGCTGCTGGCGCAAGAAGAGACGGCTAAACATCCTGGAGGACCCGCGGCTCGTACCGATCGAGTTCAAGATCGGTAATTAAAGATTTTGATATATGTGTATTTTTAAGATCTGTGTATACACCAGGTCCATTTTGCAGATTGTTCAATTGTTCTGGAAAACTCAGCATTTGTTCCACATTTTCTGTCAGTATTCCAAACAGTATGCTGTATATTCCGTATTCTATTATTGAAGTTATATTTTTTCAGAAACTTTCAGTAATTTGGTGCTAATTGTAAACCTGGGGATTGGTCTTGTTTATTTAAAGTTGGATTTCCAAGTTCTTAGGATTTGAGCAATGTTTGGCTGCAAACCATGATTTCATAAGAACTAGAGAGAAGAGAGGTTTGGTTTAGATGTATTTTGCTCCTCTAATGTCAAGAAGACCGAATATGTCACAAACTTCCCTTTACGACCACATTTAGCACTTAATAGTGTTTGCTATGTCTATAAAATAACGTTTTATGTGTAGTCATAATTTCTAGTTAAACTCAAATTAAATGATCATATGTTGCTTATTTACTGACACTCAGGTTTTTATATAAATAGACACCATCTATAAATGAAGTTGACACTTTGCACGTGCAAAACCCAGTGATATTTGAGACAAATGGCAGAGAGACTCAGCCAGGGGCGGACTAGGACTAAACATCTGCCCGGACCCACTTCGGTACCGCTAGTAAGGGGGTGCTAGTGACTTATCCGACCGGCCCACTTCGGTACCGGCCCAGAATTCGTCCCGAACGTCCCGATGGCCAGTTGGACTCAGCATCTGTACACTGCCGAAGCTGAAGTCGTTGTGCCATCACAAACTAGACAAATTCTGTTTCCTCGGGGCACTGTCAGCTCAACTGAGCATGTCAGCATGAATGTGAGATCTCTGCTATTTTCTGATTGTAATTGTCTCATCCTCCAGACTACGAGGCTTCTCTAAAGAAGGAGGGGGGTATACCAGATGGTCCCGTGTTGGAGTCGCTGCTCGCCGGGGAAACCCTGGACAAGAAGGTAGAAACCAAGGAAGAAGAGCCAATGAGCGAGTGTCAGGTGAGACTCTCGTTTCTCTTTCTTCCCTCTCTCACCTTCTCTCTTCCTCTCCTCTGTACTTTGTTGTTCTTTGTCTTGTTCTTATGTCAGTCTGTGTCTCCAACTATCTGTCTGTTTTACCCTCTGTGTTGATGTCTGTCTGCCTTTGTCTCTTTTGGAGAGTGTGTTTGGCGGTGACACAGGCTCCCGCGGCTCTGACAACTCCCTCATGGCACAGTGTGTGTGTGCCTGAATGCTATTGTGTTGCACTGCAGTCCATTTTGGGGTTTTACCGGGATTTCGTTTAAGTATTTTACAGGCAAACAGCTATTGTGCGGATTTTTTGTCAATCTATCTCTTTGCGCTTTTGGGTAACTTCTGATCAAAAAGTTCACTCTGGCTGAACTATTTCACTAGTCTGAGGCAGTTTCTCTTCAGATGGACAGCTAATCAATCAGCAGTTGAGTGAATGGCCCTGAAAGTGGGCCTATGAGAGATTGAGAAGTCTTAAGGGCCTTAAATCCACGGCTCCAGCGCAGCTTGGGGCTTTCCTAGGCAGGCATTACTTCCATGCTTCCCAATCATAGCTCCATGTGCGCCCTTAACTCTCCCCTTACTACTTTGGACTCAGTTTCACAGATGATATTGTTACGTATTCTGTTCTCTTTGCAATAAGCACAATTGCTTGATGTTACGTTTATTCCTCATAAGGATAGTAGATGGCCGTGGTCTGTTCCATAAATAAGATTTACAGTGTTGCAGTATGGGATTCAGTGGTTTTACATCTTGACCAACATTAGGGATTAAAAATCAGGGTATCTTGGCTCTTGTTGCGTAATTATTTTTCTTAATGAACCTCTTGTGAGTCCCTCCACTTTTTAAAGTGCGATACTAAAGTGCACTGTGTACCCTTTTAATTAAAGAAGTCTTAAAATTAATCGTTTATTGCAATGAAATGGTGACACATTTGGCTATATTTAGTGGTAATCGTTAATGGTTACGGTTGTTTCCTGCGCAGGCATTATGAGAATACTTTCAAAATCAGCTGGAAGTGTGCAATTTCCTGCAATTTCAAGACCACCCATGGTTCAATGTGGAGCAGAGCAGAAGCAAGAGGGGAAAGGCAAAAAAAGAAAGGAAAAGTTAAGGTAAAAAAGTAAAGTAAAATAACTAACCTCTCTGACAGTCCATCTCTCTCTCTCTCTCTCTCTCTCTCTCTCTCTCTCTCTCTCTCTCTCTCTCTCTCTCTCTGCATCTCATTTGTAGAAGCTGCTGGTCGGGGATTTCCCTCATGATTTGGAGGTGGATGAGATGGAGGAAGACGTTCCTAAACGCAAGAACCGTACCAAAGCACGGGTGAGAAATGAATGACAATTCTTGATTATTCTCTACTTTTCCTGCTCAATTTATACTGAATATTCAAGCCATAAAACAATTTGTTTTTGTGTCGTTGTAGAAAAAGTGAAGTTAGGGAAACACAAGTCAGTCTCCAGCAAAAGCTCAAAGTCTTGCCTGTCCGACACAGAGAATAAAGACTTTTTATTTCTATTACACTGGAAAAAGTTCCTCTTAATTAGACTACAATTGAATCTGCTGTATTTGAACAAGCATAGTAGAAGACGCCTATGTTTCTGTGTCAAATGAATATTAAAAGGATTACATTAAAACTAACATTCCAATATTAACATAAATACATTTTACTAAATTCATCTTCAGAAATTAGCATTTTGTTCTCAGTACTGGTCTTTGAGGGTTATGATTTAATTAATTGTATCTCATATTGAGTTTGACTTTGCTTTATTCCTGACTGAAGAGGAAAATGTGACAAACCATGAGTTTTTACAGAGAATAAATGCAATTGGATCCAGAGATGTAATCATGCTGAGACAATCGTTTTTTTTACAACTTTGATTAGATCAGACAGGTTCTTTTCCCACTCTTTTTGGGCGTCATATGGGAAGATAATCAAGTGTTAACAATGTATTCTGAAAATCCTTACACACACACATGCTCACACACAGACACCAGGGTTGCTAATTGGAGCTGTTGCTCCCCTGCTAGGTGTCATCAGCCCCCTCCTGCTGGAAGTGGAGCTTTACACTGAGAGCAGATGATTAGAATACAAATGTGTGTGTGTGTGTGTGTGTGTGTGTGTGTGTGTGTGTGTGTGTGTGTGTGTGTGTGTGTGTGTGTGTGTGTGTGTGTATAGAAATTTGAAGCACGTAATGTGCTGTTACGCTCTTTTTTACT